AAAATCGTGTTCTGAGATAACATCCTGAGCACCTTGCTGTGATGTCACCCCGTCCAGCTCTTTACCCACAAGGGGTGGGGCATGGCTGTCCCAGCACCAGCACAGGCCTAGTACCTAGTAGGGCTCAGTGCATGAATGATTTAATGGATTGAATGAACGAATGAATGAATGAGTGAATGATTTAAACAGACCCCGGGTCTGGTCCAACAAGCCTCCTCCAGTATTAGGGGCTGCCTGTCCCCAGCTAAGATGGACCATGCCATTTACACAGGTGTCTCTCATCACATCAAGCCCAGGTTCAGTAAACAAAAATGCAGGTGAAAGGCTAATACCTGAACAAGCTTAAGAGTCTAATGGTCAAAGGGATCAACAGTTCACAGAAAAACAAACACTAAATCAGTAAGGGTTCAAACTCAACAATACTGCACTAAATTAAAATCAATGACTACGAAGTATTATTCAATAATAATTAATCAGAAAATTAAAAATTTATAACAAATGTTGTCATGCATGGCTGTTAGTTAGCAGTATAAGATGGATTATTCTTTTTAGAGGACAATCTATCAATATAAAAATAACTGTAAAAATGTCCATATCTGAGAGTAGGGAACCCCCCCAAATCTGTCCCTTCACAAAAGCAAGTAAGCTGGCAATAACTGTCAGAACCAACATCTACACAAGTTCAGAATCTAATAAAAAACTAACTGCAACCAGGGGAATGCTTAATGAAAAAAGGAGCTGCTAAATTTCAGAAAGATTACAATCTGGTTTTTGAAGGTACCCACTGATCATCCCAGCTCAGAGGCAGACCTGGGACTGTGTTCCTGGTATGGTTGTCTGGTGCTGGGGAGGGCGGCGGGGGTGTGTGTGTGTGGAATTGTTGGTGTGTGTTTTGACCTGTCTAGTGGCTCCCTGATGGATCAGTTCACGGCCTTGACTTTTTTTTACCCCCCCTCAGAACTTTCTCAGGGGTGGAGTGGCCTCCTGGCCAGCAGTTGTCAAAAGTGTTTAAAGACAGATCTACTAGCTACAGCCAGCTGGGGCAAGAGATAATAGACAAGGCAAGCATCAGAGAGACTGAACAGTCTGAAAAGAAAGAGGCTAAGAGGAAGGAGGAATAAAGATTTTGAAAGACTCCCACAAAAGCCAGAGACTAGAAGGCCGCATGTGTGCCCAGGCTGACACATGCTCAGGAAAGACCTGAGAAGACCACCAGCGTCCCTCTGGCTGATGGTCAGGCTCCACATAATCAAGAAGTGAAGGCTAAGGCAGAGTTGCAAGAGGCCTAGCTGATGTTGAAGGAGAACTCCAGCAGAGAGTCAGTCTGCAAACACCGGGAGAGTTGTATGGAGGTTTTTAGTTGCCATTGTTGTTTGGGCTCTATGAAGAGACCGCAATAAAATCACCAGTTGACCTCTATGCTAAAGGAACAGTGACTTCAGTAACCTCACACAACAAAATAAAAGTCTTTACAAAAAATAGTTTAGAAAAGTCATTAAACAAACAACTATAATGCACAACAAGCAGCAGCAGCAAACCCTGGGGAGGGGGAGAATGTTATTTCCAGAGTTACTGCATTATAATATTCAAAATGTCCAATTTTCAACAAAAATTACAAGGCATTCAAAGAAATAAAGTATGGTTCGATCATCTATATTATAAAAGGCCAGTGGCAATAATGCTGTAACAACCAAACGACCGGTCACCAGGAGGTGGATGGAGCACCTCTTGGGCCCACCCCCAGCGTGCTGGCAGCGTCGGCAGAGTGTCGCGGGGCACCAGCAGCATCCGCGGAGCGTGTGAGGCTTCGTGGGGCGGTGGACATGGCCCTGATGGCAGGTTAGGCCTAGGGGGAAAACTGTGTGCTGGGCCTCTAGTAGGAAGAATAAATGAAGAAAAAATGTTTCTGAGGAATTTCAGACAAAAACTTTAAATCAACTGTCTTAAATATGCTCTAAAACAGTGGTTCTAAACCTGTGGGTTGCGACCCCTTTGGGGGTCAAACTACCCTTTCACAGGGGTCACCTAAGACCATCGGAAAACACATATATAATTACATATTGTTTTTGTGATTAATCACTATGCTTTAATTATGTTCAATTTGTAACAATGAAATTGGGGGTCACCACAACATGAGGAACTGTATTAAAGGGTCGTGGCATTAGGAAGGTTGAGAACCACTGCTCTAAAAGCTAAAGGAAGTGATGTTCAAAAAACTAAAAGAAAAATTGTATTAATATATTAATATAATCCTATCTAATAACAGACAAACATGGTAATTGACCGTAGCTTTGCTATGCCTCCCATCGGCTAATCAGCGAGATATGCAAATTAACCGCCAAAAAAGATGGTGGTTAATTTGCATACATAGGCACAAAGCAGCAGAACAAAGACTGAAGGCAGTTCTGGCCGGAGCAGCAAAGGCTTGGAGGCAGCTCCGGCTGGAGCAGCGAAGACTGAAGGCAGCTCCAGCCGGAGCAAAGGCATGTGTCCCGGGTGCTGGAGGAAAACCGGTGCCAGCAACCAGGGGAAGGGAAGGCCTATTGCATGAATCTTTTTATGCAACAGGCCTCTAGTTAATGGTATAAAAAAATAAAAGAGAAACCAAGATGGCAGCATAAGGTATAGACCTGTGCATGCTGCCTCCCACAACAACACTGAAACTACCAACTATAAGACAAAACAGCTATCATCCAGAACCATGGGAGAGCTGGCCCAGTGTAAGTTCTACAACTGGAAGGAAAAGAAGAGCATTGAGACTGAGTAGGAAGTGCAGAGGCGCCAAGAACAGAGGTACGGAGTCGCGCGCCAGGTGGGCTGCAACTGGATGCGCGGTTTTTTTCAATCAGAAGAGGATACAAGCTCTCAAATCCACTGAACTTGTTTGGGGCGGAATTCTGAGGTCCCAGACCCCTACAGGGAGAGGCGGGACTGCCTTGCAGCAGGTTGGAGAGTGAGGGTGGCTATCTCGCAGAGCTGTTCACCGGCATTCGGGGACGTGGAGACGCAGAGTTGCGGAGAGGTGAGGAGTCGCGGAGACACTGACGACAACCATTGCTGTTTGTTCCACCCTGGTGATTCTCTGAGACCCCGCCCTACTCAATTTACATCTCTGCCCAAGCTGTGCCAGTGGCACAAAAGGAACCACCTGCACTTTTGCAGCTTAACCCAACAAACTTCAGATTTCAACTCCTCGCATCCATAAGGGACACACTCAAGAAGCAGAATCAGGTTCAGAGGAAGCTGGAGCCGGAACCGGCTGAGCCGGCACCGGCTGAGCTGGCAACATGGAACCGCTGTACCAACAAATGCACAAGCAGGTCCATCAGATCCAGTCTCACATGGGATGCCGGGAGACGGCAGCAAGCAGTCTGTGCACTTAGTAGAAAATGAAATCCAAGCAAGCATACCAGATACTCAGCCGGGAAGAATGCCTGGAGATTTTGTCCAGCAAGGAGCCTCCCAACAAAAGACAGAATGCCAAACCTCATGTTGACCAGTCAAAGTATGACGTCCAGCACCTGCAGACTGCTCTCAGACACTTGCAGCATCAGCGATACTCAAGAGAGCAGCAGGGGAGACAGTGAGAGGAGCTTCGGTCTCGCACCTTCACCCGCAATGTGGGTTGTGGCGCCCCCTGTGAGGCTGCATGAGGCTGCGACAGCCCCTGCGAGGCTGTGAAGGCTCCTGCGAGGCTGTGACGGCCCCTGCGAGGTTCCGACACCCCCGAGAGACTGCATGAGGCTGCAACAGCCCCTGTGAGGCTGCGATGGCCCCTGCGAGGCTGTGATGGCCCCTGGGAAGCCGGTGGAACCACGTGAGCCACCCAGATGGCTTCGTCGACGGCCCACGAACCAGCTCGCAGCCCCACGCACAACTATCACCCGAAGGGCAAGAGGGGCAAGAGCAGCTGTAGTGTTGCTTTCTCCTCACTTCTGGTAGTGAAATCCTCATTTTAAACATAAGAAGATACATTATTTTAAAAAGCCATCACGTGGCTCCGTACCCTTTCTGAGTAGAGCGTGAACAAATCGTGAGAGACCTTTCCGAACACAGGGACACGTTGCGGATGGAAATAGCTACATTTTCCATGTGTATTTCCTTTGACCCGGTGACAAAAAGCGTACACCTATG